TACTAAATATAGGTAGAAAGTAATAATAAAATTGATTTTTAGGAAGAAAAGATTGATAAAGCCAGTGGAAATAATGAAAAAAAAGTAGAAATGAAGGAGTTCTAACAAATATTAAACTATATCACAAAGTAGCAATCATCAAAAAGATTTGGTACTGGTCAAGAAAGAGAGTGATCAGTAGAACAGATTAGGTATAAAACATAAGTAAGTGAGTACAGTAGCTTATCATTTGATAAAACTAAAGCTATTGGGGCAAGAACTCATGTTTTAAAAACAAAAACTTATGAGAAAGCTGGAAAGCATTCTAGACATTAGCTATAGACCAACATCTCATACCATAAATTCATACATGACTTAGACATAAAGAATAACATTATAAACAAATTAGAGAAGCAAGGAAGAAAATATTTTTCATATCTATAAATTAAGAAATTGTTCATGACCAAATAAAAGATAGAGAGGTTCACAGAAGATAAGATGGATAATTTTGATTGGATAAAAATTTTTAAAAATTTCAAGAAACAAAATCAATGAAACTAAAATGAGAAGTGAAGCAGATGATCTTTGCAGCAAGTTTCTCTGATAAAGGTCTTATTTCCAAGATATAAAGGGAACTGATTCAAATTTATAAAACTAAGAACCATTCCACAAATGATAAATGGCCAAACTATACAAATTCATTTTCAGAGGAAGAATTATAAGTTATTGACAGCTATGTGAAAAAAAGGCCCCAAGTCACTAATAATTTGAGAATCTAAATTACAGCAACTCTGAGGTTCCACCAGATTGACAAAGTTGGCAAAAAGGGAAACATATAAATGTTGGTGTTAGACTAGAAAACAGGCACGTTAATGTACTCTGAACTGATCCAACCATTCTGAAAAGCAATTTGGAACAATACTCCCAAAGTTACCAAGATGTACATACCCTTTGACCCAAGATGAGATCAAAGAAAAAGGAAAATAACTTTTGTGCAAATTTATTCATAGTAGCTCCTTTTTGGGGGGTAACAAAGAACTAGTAACTAAGGAAATGCCTATCAATTGGGGAATGTCTAAACAAATTACAGTAAATTAATGTAATGGAATACTATGCTTTGAGGCAGACTTCCTATGACCAGAACATATTACCAATTTCCAGGATGGTGGACTTCAAGGAAGGGCCTTGAACAATCTAATCATACCTTCCTTGATAGACTTATCTCTGACTGTTGACATGCTACTTGGACTCACTCTTCAGTGGTTATTTTATTCTTATTACCTCAAAATACTCTCTGGAATTCCAGTAATTCTGAACTCCTGGAAGCTGATGTATCAACTTTGCTCCCATCCCCAAATCTCCATACTCAATCCCCCTGTCAAAGTCCCTCTTCATATTTACCTGGCCTTCTACTGTGTTCTCTGGAATGCCTGCTCCAAAATTAAACTTCCTTTCATCTTAAACTTTTTGTTTTCTTACCACTTACATTTTCTGGTACTTACTGATATCTGGTATTCGTTGAAATCTGTCTCCTTCCTCACGATTCTATGTATACCTGACCACCCTTCCCAGTACTTTTTTTTTCAGGATAGGCAATGGGGTTAAGTGACTTGCCCAGGGTCACACAGCTAGTAAGTGTTATGTGTCTGAGGCTGGATTTGAACTCAGGTCCTCCTGAATCCAAGGCCGGTGCTCTATCCACTTCCCAGTACTTTTTGAACATTCATTAATACTTCTGGTTATTAGTCAAAGTGAGGAAGTCTTTTTTTTTAATTGATTAATTTTTTGTTGTCAACATTCACTTTTATAAGATTTTGAGTTCTAAATTTTTCCCTCCCTCCTCTTCCCCTCCCCAAGATAGCATGCAATCTGATATAGCTATACATGTATAATCATGTTAAACACATTTCCACATTAAGGGAAAAACCATGATAAAGAAAAAACAACCAAAAACAGAGAAAATAGCATGCTTCAATGTGTATTCAGACTCCATAGTTCTTTCTCTGGAAGTGGATAGCGTTTTCCATCAGGAGTCTTTTGGAATTATCTTAGATCATTGTATTGCTGAGAAGAGCTAAGTCTATCAAAGTTGGTCATCGCACAACATGGCTGTTACTGTGTACAACATTCTCCTGGTTCTGCTCTCTTCACTCAGCATCAGACCATACAAGTCTTTCCAGATTTTTCTGAAATCTTCCTGCTCATCATTTTTTATAGAACAATAGTATTCCATTACATTCATATACCACAACTTCTTCAGCCATTCCCCTATTGAAGAGCATCCTTTCGATTTCCAATTCTTTGCCACCACACAAAGAGCTGTTATAAATATTTTTGTACACATGAGTCTTTTCCCCTTTTTTATAATCTCTTTGGAATATACAGCTAGTAATGGTATTGCTGGATCAAAGGTATGTACAGTTTATAGCCCTTTGGGCATAGTTGTGAGGAAGTTTTAATATTCCTTACTAACCATCATCACTTCCAGACTCTTTCTTCCACTGACACTATTACTCAATTATCTCTTCTCTTTTGAAGTTCTTGCTATTTGAATTTATTTCTTAGTCAAGATCTTGGTTGCTGTTATCAATCAACTGCCAAGATAATCTTCTCTCGTTAATGAGTTCAGTGCAGGACTTCTCACTATCTTTCTTCACTCTGATTCTTTCTCCCGTATTAGGAGACTTCAAAATATGTATTGATACTCCCTCAAATACTCCTAAGTTCTCAGATTCTCAATCTACTCAATTTACATGATGTAGTCCTTTATTACACCTTAACTACACACAGAAATGGTTATCTGAACACAGTTTTTATCATTCATTTTCCCCATATGTCTTATGACTCCCAACTCTGTTCTTCATCTTCCAGGGACATTCATCCTTCAGTTCCTTTATTGGCTATTGCTCTTGCATTTATTACATTTATTGCATTTATTACACTCTGTTCTCTTCTTTATTTGAACCCTTTGGTGAATAAATTCAACTCTAAACTGCAGTCTTGAATTCCTTGCTCCCTTATCCTTTTGCTGATCATATCTTGCCAAACTCCAACCTGGATTATTCCCACCATCTGCTTTTTTCACTCTTACTCCTGCGCTGTTGAGTAAAGCTGTAGAAACCGTGGTGACTAGGCCCATTAAACATTCGTGTAACATAATCTCAATTAGGCCCTCACTTCTAGGCAATGATTTTTAACCTATCTGCAACTCTACCAATAGTGCATTGTGTCCCAGTTTTCTCACATTCCCTCCAGTATTTATCATTTTCCTTTTTTGTCATATTAGCTAATCTGATAGGTGTGAGATGGCATCTCAGAATTGTTTTAATTTGCATTTCTGTAATCACTAGTGATTTAGAGCATTTTTTCATATGACTATAGATAGTTTTGATTTTTTTGTCTGAAAACTGCCTGTTCATATCTGTTGATCATTTATCAATTGGGGAATGGCTTGTATTTTTACAAATTAGACTCAGTTCTCTATATATTTGAGAAATGAAGCCTTTGTCAGAAATATTTGCTGAAAAAATATTTTTCCTCTACTTTTTGCTTTCCTTACAATTTTTGTTGCATTGGTCTTGCTTGTGCAAAAATGTTTTAATTTTATAAAATCAAAATTATTTATTTTATATTTTGTAATACTCTTTATCTCTAGTTTGGTCATAAATTCTTCCCTTTTCCCCAGATATGACAAATGAACTATTTCATGTACCTATTTTGACCCATATCTTGGTATATGGTGTGAGATGTTGGTCTATACCTAGTTTTGGCATGCTCTTTTTCAGTTTTCCCATAAGTTTTGGTGAAATAATGAGTTTTTGTTCCAAAAGCTTGGATCTTTGGGTTTATCATATGCCAAATTATTTTGGTCACTTACTAAACTGTAAAAAAAAATATTGTACCTAATCTATTCCATTGGTCTATCTCTCTGTTTTTTAACCAGTACCAGATTATTTTGATAATTACCAATTTATAGTACAATTAGAGATCTGGTATGTTTAGACCACCTTCCTTCACATTTTTTTAATTGATTCCTTGATATCCTTGACCATCCTTCTAGATGAATTTTATTATTATCTTTTCTAGCTCTATAAAATAATTTTGGTACCTTGATTGGTATAGCAGAGAATAGATAGATTAATTTAGGTAGATTGTAATTTTTATTATATTGGCTCAGTCTACCCTTGAGTAAATAACATTTTTTTCCAATTGTTTAGATCTGACTTTATTTATGTGAAAAGCGTTTTGTAGCTGTATTCATATAGTTCCTGGGTTTGTCATGGCAGGTAAGCTCCCAAGTATATTATACCGTTTTTTCTCTTTCTACCTCATGCTACTGGGCTTTATTGATCATATAAAGAAATTCTGATGATTTATGCAGGTTTCTCTTATATTCTGCAACTTTGCTAAAGTTATTAATGATTTCAAGTACTTTTTAGTGGATTCTCTAGGATTCTCTAAGTATAACATAATATCATCTGCAAAGAGCTACAGTTTTGTTTCCTCATTGCCTATTCTAATTCCTCCAATTTCTTTTTCTTCTCTTATTGCTATAGCTATAGCTGTAGCTAACATTTCTAGTACAACATTAAATAATAGAGGTGATAATGGGCTTTGCTTCACTCCTGATTGTACTGGGAAGGCTTCTAGCTTATCCCCATTACAGATTATGCTTGCTAATGGTTTTAGATAAACATTACTTAACATTTTAAGGAAAGATCCATTTATTCCTATGCTTTCTAGTTTTTAATAGGAATGCATGTTGTATTTTGTCAAAGGCTTTTTCTGCATCTATTGAGATAATCATATGGTGTTTGTTGTTTTGTTATTGATATGGTCAATTATGCTGATAGTTTTCATAATATTGAACCAGTCCTGCATTCCTGGTATAAATCCCACCTGGTCTTAGTGATTGATCCTTGTGATATATTGCTGTACTCTCTTTGCTGATATTTTATTTAAAATTTTTGCATCAATATTCAGTAGTTGAAATTGGTCTGTAATTTTCTTTCTCTGTTTTTAGCTCTTCTTGGTGTAGGTGTCTGCTCCATATTTGCATCATAAAAGGAATTTGGTAAGACTCTTTCACCTATTTACCCAAAAAGCTTATATAGTATTGGGATTAATTGTTCTTTAAATGTTTGGTAGAATTTGCTTGTGAATTTTTCTTAGAAGTTTATTGATGGCTTGCTCAATTTCTTTATCGGAGATTGGGTTATTTAAGTATTTTAGTTCTTCTGTTAACCTGGGTAATTTATACTTTTGTAGATATCCTTCCGTTTCATTTAAATTGTCAAATTTATTGCCATATAATTGGGCAAAATAGCTCCTTATAATCATCTCAATTTCTTCTTCACCGGTGGTTGAATTCATCCCTTTCATTTTTGATGCTAGTAATTTTGTTTTCTTCTTTTTTCTTTTTATAATAAAATTAACAATGGTTTATCTATTTTTTTCATAAAACCAACCTTTGATTTTATTTATTAATTCAATGGTTTTCCTATATTCAATTTTACTGATCTCGCCTTTAATTTCCAGCATTTCCAATTTGGTATTTAATTGGGGGTGGGGGTTTAATTTGTTCTTTTTCTTGTTTTTTTTTTAAATTGCATGCTCAGTTCATTTATCTGCAATTTCTCTATTTTTTGATGTAAGCAGTTAAAGACATAAAATTTCCCTTAAGTACTACTTTGGCTGAATCCCATAAATTTTGGTATGTTATCTTCTTGTCATTTTATTTAATGAAATTGTCTATTGTTTCTGTGATTTGTTCTTTGACCCATTTATTTTTTTATGATTAGATTATTTACTGTCCAGTTAATTTTAATCTACCTTTAAAGTGCCCATTATTGAATGCTATTTTTATTGCATTATGATCTGCATTGACTCTTTCTTCTTTTTTTGCATTTGGTTATGAAGTTTTTATGTCCTAATACATGATCAGTGTTTGTGTAGGAGCCATGCACTGCTGAGAAAAAGCTTTGCTCCTTTCTATTCCCGTTCAGTTTTCTCCGGAGATCTATCATATCTAACTTTTCCAGAATTTTATTCAACTCATTAACTTCTTATTTTTTTTGTTTGATTTATTTAGTTCTGAGAGGGGACGGTTGAGGTCCCCCACTAGTATAGTTTTATTATCCATTTCTTTCTATAAACTCGTTCAATTTCTCCTTCAAAAACTTAGATGCTATACCATTTGGTGCATATATGTTTAGTACTGATATTACTTCATAGTCTGTGGTGCCGTTCAACAAGATACAGCTTTCTTCCTTATTTCTTTTAATTAGATCTATTTTTGCTTTTGCTTTGTCTGAGATCAAGATTGCTTCCTTTGCTTTTTGGTTATTTTATTTTAGCTGCAAAGGACTGAAAGAACTGTCAGCAGAGCTTAAATTTGTTGCATTGTGGTGAAGCAGTGGTCACCATGCCCTAGTGAAAGCTCTGCTAAGGTTACCAAAATATCTTTTCAACAGTAAGTAACATAACTTGGATATGCTTTTTTTTATTTATCTAGATTAGATGTATAGTTTTTCTTCCCATAAAAGAAAGTACAGAAGTATCAGAGTATGATGTTTATCATCATGTATACAAGTGCATGCATGCACACACATGTAGAACACTTTAAAATACATTAGGCAGATGTAAACTGAACTGTGAAGAAAAACAGAACTGAAAAGTACTGACTCAATAAACTCTGAGCCAAACTGAAATATTAATATTTTTACAAAACAGAGAGCAAACAAAAAAAACCTGTTTAAAGTCTAGTGAGCTAGTCTGAACCAGAACTGTGAAATCTATAGATTAAAAAAAACAATACTGAACTAAAACAGAAATGGTATATCAAAATATTTTCCACCCGAATCTAAACCAAACTCATATTTCATTAGTTCAAGTTCCTTCAACTTACCCAAGGATAAGGCATCAAGCTTGTTTTACCATTTGAGTTCACAGGACTCAGAGGAATTATATTATCTGCCCAAGACATAGTTTTGCCCTCTATGTTTCTTGTATTTATAGTTCCATTTTTTCCTGGTCTTTTTGCCTCTTCTAACTGTTCCCCTTTCTTATCTTAGTGCTAATATTTTCTGTGGAACTATCCTGTCCTCTAACTGCACCAAATATTATGTTATTTCTTTATTTTTAAATTTTTCTTTCTTTCCTTAGAAATAAAAAGCTAAAATGGCTATGACATCCTGACTTTTAAATGACATATTTGTCATTTGCCTATGATTTTTTTCTGGCATTTCCAGTCCTGTCCAGAAAGTATCAAGTGACATAAACTAATAATAAATAGTAAATGAGTTGGATATGAGGCTTTTTCTCTTTCCTCCCCCCCACTTTTTTTTTTTTTACTAATCTACCTAACTACATCATAGCCCTCCTTCCCTATGTCCCCTCTCTCAACTAAGTCTGCTCCTATTTCCTTTCCATATATAAGATATATGGTGCCAAATTCAAAGATCCAACCTCTGGGCCTCCAACCTTAGAGGATGAATCAAAGAGTAAAGGTCTTAGAGATTTCAAAATAAGACATTGTTCTGGAATGCTGAATTTAGAAGTCCATAATCCACATCTCTTGTACCCTGGCAAGTTAAAATATTGTCCTAGCAAAAGAATTCCATTAAGCATAGATATTAAATGACCCGCCAAAGGATGACTAGTGATTCTGATAGATTTACAATTCTAACTGAAAACTTAGCTATTAGAGTTCTAGTGCCTCTTCACATCACAGGACCACATGATCACAGAGTTAGAGCTGGAGGGAGCCTTAGAGGTCATCTTGTCCAAACTCCTTATTTTAAAGATGAGGGAACTGGGGCCCAGAGAATTTAAATGATTTGCCAAAGGTCACATGAGAAATAAGTGGCAAAGCTGGGTTTCAACGTTCAGATTAAAAATCTAGCCCTCAGGGCAGTTAGATGGAGAGGTGGATAGAGCTCTGGACTTGGAGTCAGGAGGATCTGAGTTCAAATCCAGCTTCAGATATTTGATGCTTACTAGCTATGTGACCATCGGCAAGTCACTTAACCCTGATTGCTTCGCCAAAATACAAAAACAAAATATCTGGCCCTCTTGCTAGTAAACCATGCAGTATGGGGCAGCAAGGACCTTAAGAACATTTAGCTGCCACCTAGAGACAGTCATAGGACTCATCTGGGTTTTTGACCGACTCTTCTGACTCACCAGTCCTGCCTCAGGCCTGTCTATATTACATAATTTATTGATTTAATTCAACTCAACACATTAAATGCATTCTCTGTGTAAGAGAATGTTTTAGGCAATTCTTCATGTGATCTATGACTTTACCCCAGCTAGCCTACTCCAATGAGGCATCCCTAACCCTGTTATAGCCTATGACCTCTCCCAACTATGATTATTCACTTTGAACTCTTGCCTGTTTTGGCCATAGTTTTGTTCTGGTCCCTTCCTTTAAAATGTACATGCTTGGTGATTGTTTTAACATACTAGCCTGCTTGACCAAAATCCTAGCCCACCTGATCTGTGTCCCCTCTCCCTCAATTGAGAAGTATATGGTCCTATGGTACACACCTTTTTCTCAAACACTCTCACTTCTACAACCAAACTGTAAAACACAGTACCTGTGACATTGGAATAGTGGTTGAAGCCATCTTAGTTGCAGAATCATGAGAATAACAGTTATGACACAACTATTTAACCTTTATATTCAGGCTGTAAGTTCAAATCTGACCTCAGATGCTTCCTAGCTGTGTGACCCTGGGCAGGTCACTCGACCCTGTTTGCCTCAGTTTTCTCATCTGTAAAATGAGCTGCAGAAGGAAATGGCAAACCACTCCAGTATCTTTGCCAAGAAAACCCTAAATGCTGTCACAGAGTCAGATGTGACTGAAACAACTGAACAAAAACAAACTGAGATAGGATTACTTCCTAAGGATACAATTTTTATAACTTTATTAGTATCTATTTAAATAGCCCAAGTCATGAAAACAACTATTTAGGGTTTCAGAAGACAAGCATAATGGTTTTAGTACAATATTTGTGCCTCCCTTCTTCACCACATTATCATCCATCTGTTTTGAATATGTTTCTCGTTATTTTGTACTCCCAATTCACATCTTTCCTTTCCTTTTGGTGCATATTTTCAACACATTCTGCAACTTGATAAATACTTATTGCGTACTTATAGGACAGATACAAAGATAAATAGGATAGAGTCTTTTTTCTGATGGAATTTACAATCTAGGAGAAGGGAACAAAGCTCATAAACAAAATACCCCATTATAATACAGCATCAGGTATGATAAGTACTAGAGAAAGGTACAAAGCAACAACTGAGATTCAGTACTGTATCCAATTCTAGAGTCAAACCATGTTTCACACAGAAAATATGACAAATAACAAGGGAGGATGCTAACAATCTCCTTTTTTTTAGGAAACTAACATTTACTGAAATAAAACAGATCTATCAGCATTTCTATAGTAACCTATTCTCAGCCTGGATGACAATGGAATTACCTCGTTTAGATTCTAACATCTCGGTACCCAATGTACCTCAGAACCTAAGGGTATAAAATGGCATTCGGGAAAATGAAGTTAGAAGTAACAGGAATCATCTAAATATATACACAGGCAATTTGTGTCTTACAAACCATAATTTTACAGAAAACTCAGGGATCAATTTTTAAAATATCTCAGAGGGGAAAAATACAAAGTATGGAGAAACTAATAATTGGAATTTTTGCCAAAAAATAACTATTAAGATACAACTAACTACCAAGCTACTTGCTATCTAAGCAACTCTAAAAATAATTAAAATAATCTATGTACAATATTCAAGCACTAAAGCAATATGTAGATTAAGAAACAAGTGTACCTTATTTGTGGGAGAGAAACTATATTTCCCTTGCTAGGGGTAGGTACTTGGCATTATTTATCTTTGAATGATATAGGCAAAATTGATCCTTTAATATGTGCTTATACCTCCAAAGACACTGAAATGATCATAATAAACTTTATTATTACACAGAGCTATGTGGACTGTGGGGTCAGATTGAGCACCCACAAAAAAAACAATAACTCTTCTGAGAACATACATGATATTGCATATTCTCTAAAGAAAATGATCATACTCTATTCTTAAATGAAAACTAGATTACATTTGGATGGCATTTTAAAGGATTTTCCATACATTATCTCATCAGCTCCTAACATTAGCCCCGAGAGATAGGTAGTATAGACATGATTACACATATTTCACAGATCAGGAAATTGAAGCTAATGGTCATGGAGCTAGCAAGTGGCAGACCTGAATCTTGAATGAAACCTTCTAACTCCAACTCCAGTACACTTTCCAAAACATTATACAATCTTTTTTTTTTACAAAAATGTGTTTGTAACATTATGTTCCCACTTCCAGTTGGCTTGTTCCATTCCATTAACCTTTAACCAGAAGTCAAACATTTTCTTTTCAATAATATTATAATAATTTCAAGCATTTCTTACTTTCATACATCAGTATTATTTAGAAAAATCTTTGGCATGTGTTTTGGGAAATCACAGAAACCTTGAGAGACTGTTTTAATAATCTTTCTTACCTTCAGGCATAAGTATACCAACAGCATCCTCAATGTGCAAATTAGGAGCTTATTTTTCAAAGCTTCTTTCATTTGGGACTAAATGCATTCACATCAGAGACTGCAGAATAAAAAGAGAAACAATAGGTAATTGCATGTGTGTTTGAAAGGACTGCCAAGTTGGTCCACCTCCATCATAAACCTATTCCCACTTTTTTGATGGGGCTCTATTACCATTTCTTTTCATCCTGTATTTTCCTTTGCATGACCTATTCTGTTTCTAACATGTCTGGTTTTTTTTTTTCAGACAAGCTAATGATTCAGGAAGGGAAAAAGACATTTTTAGGGTTGATAGAGTACACATGATAAAGCATAAGTGGGGATTGTTTGCACATGGAGAGTATTTGTGATTTCACACTGCTCCAAAGTAGTGGCTTGGCTTCCAAGAACAACCCAGGCAGTGATTGTGCTATTTATCAGTGTTCCTGGTGGATGATTGCCAGCAATTAACAGAGCTTTCCCTGGGCTCCTGCTGACCAACAAAATTGATTTGAGTTCTTTAAATAAGAATCTGTGTACACATATGTATAATCTAGTCTAATTAATACAATACTTTTTTTAGGTCTTGATCTTCCTCTACACCACAAATATTTGGGCCTCTGTTACTTTTGGCTTCCACGGGAGTCCCATCCACTCCAGAGGTCTGTAGAATAATAATACCCAAATGGTTCTACCCTCTCATTTGCTTCTCTTTCTTTTAATTTATCTCTAGCACAATGAATTCACAAATGTTATATTTTGCTGTGAATAAACACATAGACTTGATAATGAATACAATCAGGCAGAGAATTTATTCTCACTATACTTTTATGACCTAGCCCTTGAGCCAATGAAACTTTCTTTTAAATCATCTCTCCTGTGTAAGTAGTATCAGTGGAATTCTTTCACTTGTACTCCCAGAACCTAAAAATAATTTCTGTAAAACCTCAAAGAATTCAAAATAACATCTCTCTTCTACCATGGTTGTTTTCATTTGTATTTGCTTTTCCACATGGATCAAAGATAACAGTTATGTGGTAATAGAAGTGTCAAAATGGGAAGTTACCTACTAGCATTGGCTAGATTTTGTGCTTTATCATTGACAATTCTGTATCTTGAACTCTAGGCCTCTCCTCTTCACTACACTCCCTCCTGTTGAGCTTATTCTTCATTGTCATTATTCTCTTGTCTCTTTATTCTTTTATTCATTGAATTCTCAAGCCATTGGCCTTCTACCTAGGGATTCCATTAATGACTAGTCATTGGGTATGATCATTAATCAGTTTTAAATCCACCTAACTATATGATCATATAACCATTCCTATCTTGTCAGCAAGCTTATCCTGGCAGACTTTGTCAAGTCTATGGTAAAATTTAGGTATAATATATTTGTGTCATTCTGTTAATCTATCAATCCAGGAACTCAAAAATGACAGTGGCCCCCACAATGCAGAATAGGCAAAACTACTGAACTCTTATTTTGCTTCTGTTTTCTGTAACCAAGAAAAAACAAATATCTTCAGAATGGGCATGGAACAAGAACTGTTCAACAGAGATGAGTTGAAAGATAAATGAGACATGCTTAGCAAATAGCTCTTCAAGTTGATTGGGAAACTCAATAAATTGATCAGGAAATCCGCTAATTAACCTTGTTTCCTTACAAATTCATCAAGTTCAAGTCCAGATCAAAGGAGTTTTTATTATCATTCAGGCAATGACATTTATTAAGCACCTATTATGTTCTGAGTATTATGTGAAGTGCTGGGGATACAAAGAAAAGCAACGGACAGTTCCTGCTCTCTAGGAGCTCACTATGCAGGGGAGAAATAACATGCAAACAAGCTACATACAGGATATATAGGGAATAACTAACAAAAGGAAGGTACTGCAATTAAAGTGGAACAAGGAAGACTTCCTGTAGAAGGCGGGATTTTAGAGAAGTCAGGGAATTGGGGAGGTAGAGATGAGTCAGAAGAGAATTTTACATGAGGGGGACAGCCAATCAAAATGCCCAAAGTAGGGAGATGAGATATCTTATTCAAAAAACAGCAAAGAGGCCAGTGCCATTGGAGGTAGCAGATGTAAAGTGTAAGATGACTGGAAATGTATGTTTGGGGGTGCAGGTTATGCAGGGCTTTGGATGTCAAACAGAGGATTTTGTGTTTGATCTTGGACGTGATAGGAATCCACTGGAGTTTATGAATAGAGGATGACATGGTCATACCTGTGCTTTAGGAAAATCATTTTGGTGGCTGAATGGAAAATGACCTTGAGGGGGAAAACTTATGGCAGACCAACCAGGAGGTATTGTACAGAGATGGGGAGATTAGGGCTTTCACCAGTGTGGTGGCATCATCAGAAGAAAGAAGGGGAAAGGAAAGATGTTACAAGGGTAAAATAGAAGAGTCTTGGAAATAAATTGGATATGTGTGTGGGAGAGGGGTGAGAGATAGTGAAGAATAAAGGATGAAACCTAAACTGAAAACCGGGAGGACAGAAGATGGTGATAATCTTGACAGCAATAGGGAAACTCTTTTATATAGTGAGAGCTAAGCTGCCCAGTTCGAAACTGGAATTCCTACTCAGAAAAAGCTTGAGAGAAAAACTTCCTAATACAGAAAATTTTTGTCCATACAGACAACATCTATCAATGAATAATAATAATAATAAAACTTTTGTCAAATGCTAGTGAACAAAGATGCTAATTTAGTAGAGACAGAGGTAACACCTTGGAAGACCAAAGAATATTTCAAATGTGAACCACATGAAACTCCTCTCTTTCTCCCTCCTCCTCCCTCCACTTAATTAAAAAATAAAAAAATTTCTCAAATCCACCTGTTTTGAGTTTCATTTGACTTCCCATTTACTGCCAAGAAAGTGAATAATTGATCTGACCCTACTTTTGTGGAGTTTAATAATTATCCAAGAAGGGTCATCATTTTTTGCCAAAGGTAACTATTTCATGTTCAGTTTGGACTACATTTGATGTCTTTTAATCCTGGAATTCATTGAATGAATGAACAAATAAAAAAGCACTTATTACTGTCCAAAACATTGCACTGAGTACTAGAGATACAAATGATAAATCAAGATGGTCCCTGTCAAAGGACTTATATTCAAGGAACTTATATTCTAATGAGAGAGATAATACTTATTGAAGGTTTCAGCTACAAATCAATTGAAACAGTTCATGATCCACAGAGTAAAATGATAAAAACAGGTGGTAATGTTTCTTCTTTCATACCATTTCCACTGATAAAATCATGTTTCTGATGCAGTAAACTGCTTAACCATGAAGTCTAGGATTTATAGTTGCCTAAAGAGTTAGTACTATCAGTTAATTGTATTTGAGTTTGTATTTTGTTGCTAAACCTAATCATTCATTTCTTTAAAGAAGTTTTTTCATTAATAGATAAAAAAAGTTTGCATTTTCATAAGCTGGTTTGAATAGCATTTGGTTTACATTTCTCACTAAAAGCCAGGCTCAAGCAACCCTTAATGCTAACCTATGTAGTAAAAATATGACTATGAAGAAAGATATTTGATAGGAAAAGTGGAAACAGAGGCACAAATCATGAATGTGTTCATAGTTCTTTCTGATGTAAACCTAGCTGACTCTTGACTTTTAGTCAAAATATACTGGTATAAAATTTATCACTGTCATGTGAAACTATTGTAACTTTCATTCAAGCTTAGCCTTAGATAGGAATCCTTGAATATGTTTTAGTATCAATTTTCTTCAAGATAATCATGGGCTATTAATTGTATAGAACAAATATAGGTCATACAGACACTGTGTCCTTTGGAAAGGAGGCAGCATGATACTAAATGGGAACTCCAGGCCAAGTTACTTTCTCTCATGTGATGAGAGCAGAGAGTAGCCAAGCAATTAGGATCTAGCAGCCAAAGCCTCAGAAGATTTGACCATCTGGGCTGGCTATAACAAAGTTTTCCATTTCTTTCCTCTTCATTCTTTCCTGGCAGTCACATATTTTCATGTTTCCTGGAATTTTTTTTTAACAAAATGATCAAGAACCACAATGCTTACCTCAGCCCCTGTTCTGCTTTGAATGCTGCTTAATCTGGAAATAGTCATTATCTGGGGAAGAACTATAATATCCCACTATTGGTTCTAATATGTCTACTGTTTTTTGTAGTAAAGATTCACATCACAGAAGCTTAAGAATATCTCAAACCAAACCAAACATTCTCCTGTTGAAGCAAGCCCCAAACTTGTCTAAACTCATTTCTTTGAAGAATCAACTCTTCACAATATGTGTTTAGAATGAAAATATCCAGTATCCTATTGTGTGAGTGGACACAGAGAGCAAGTTCAGGGAATTTGCTTTCAAATGGCATAGTGGCTGGATAAGCCTTAACCTTCATCTTTAGATAGATTGGGAAGAGATTACAGAAGGCCTCAAATTTCAGGCCAAGAAGAATAGACTTTATAATACAACCAGTGATATACTAGACTTCGCAAATAATACCACAAAAAAAAAAGAAATTGACTATCTTAACAAATAAGAAGGCTCTGATCACCAATGTAAGAGTCATTTCAGAATGAAGTATTGGTATATGGCCAGATTATCTACCAGATAGAATAAAATTCAAAATAAATACCTAATTAGATAAAGAATAAAGATTTTAAAAGGACAATAATGCAATTGCAATAGCTCTAGCCTGATCTATTTGAGTTGTTGTCATAAAAGTAAAAAGACTGAATCTATCCCCAACTGATAAATAGTCAAAGGGTATGAACAGGCAGTTTTCAGTTGAAGAAATTAAAGCTATCAATAGTCATATGAAAAAAAAATGCTCCAAACACTATTGATTAGAGAAATGCAAATCAAAATGACTCTGAGGTACCACATCATACCTAGCAGATTGGCTAGTATGACAAAACAGGAAAATGATAAATGTTGGAGAAAATGTGGGAAAATTGGAACACTAATACATTGTTGGTGGAGTTGTGAACTGATCCAACCATTTTGGAGAGCAATTTGGAACTATGCCCAGAGGGCTATAAAAATGTGCATACACTTTAACCCAGCAATACCACTTCTAGGGCTGTATCCCAAAAAGATCATAAAAATGGGAAAAGGACCCACACGTACAAAAATATTTATAGCAGCTCTTTCTGTGATGGCAAAGAACTGGAAATTGAGAGGATGCCTATCAATTGGGGAATGGCTGAATAAGTTGTGATATATGAATGTAATGGAATACTATTGTGCTATAAGAAATGATGAGCAAGCAGACTTCAGAAAAACCTGGAAAGACTTGTATGGACTGATATTGAGTGAAGTGAGCAGAACCAGGAGAACATTGTACACAGTAACAGCCACAGTGTGTGATGACTAACTTTGATAGCCTTAGCTCTTCTCAGCAATGCAAGGATCTAAGACATCTCCAAAAGTCTTATGATAGAAAATGCTATCCACATCCAGGGAAAGAACTATAGAGTCTGAAGGCAGATCAAGGCATGTTATTTGCTCTTTTTTTTCTTCTGTTTTGTTTCATTTCTTCTTTCTTGTGGTTCCTCTGATTGGTTGTAATTCTTCTTTACAACATGACTGATGTGAAGATATGTTCAATAGGAATGTATACGTAGAGCCTATATCAGATTGTGTGCCATCTTGGGGAGGAAGGTGGGGAGGGT